TACCTTGGCCTGCCTTGACGCATTGTTTGTGACAGCCGCTGGAGCAGCATTTCATCGGAGTAGGACAGTCGCTGTCAGATTGACATTGATCAGGCCTACCGTCACATTTTCTACCAAACATTCCCTTCCAGATTCTTGGGCAGGAACCTTAGAAAAATGAACGCATCTAACTTACCTTATGTATATAAAAATATAATATATATAGTATAAGTGCTTAACAATACGTCTAAAAATCAGACGTTTACGTTTCAGCATAACACGTAACAAAAACGTTCAAGTTAGATTGATTTTAAAAATGCAAAATGCAAATAGGTAATTGCCATAGCGTCTACTTAAAAAATCTCATCAAATAATTTCATACCACAAGCTCCTTTATTATGTACTGAGATGTTCTTGTTCTTTTTACAAGCATCCTGGCGCATCATGCATTCATTAGGATAGGTCTTGTTATTGGATCCACAAACTGGATCAGTTGGTTTCTTGGGACATTCCTCGCACTTGCAATTGATGATGCCAGACGTTTKGTCTGCTTCACATATAGCAAAGGCAGGAACTGCAACGGCTGAGGAGACAATATGGCGTTAGCTAACTATATTGTTTTATTTTTCAATGTGATCTGCCGTTATATATATTTCAATATGTTTCTTTACCTTGGTTTGCCCTGACGCATTGTGTGTGACATCCACTTGAGCAACACTTCATTGGAATAGGACAATCACTGTCAGTGTTACATTCATCAGGTCTATCATCACACGGTCTACCAAAAGGTTTTTTCCATTTTCTTGGGCAAGTTCCTTCACAAAAATATCAGAAACAAAAGGATTGATGAGATGTCATGACAGAGTGAATCAACCGTTAACATAAAATAAGTGAAAAGTTTTATCTAGGGAATACAAAAGGGCGCATATGTTTCTTTACTGTGTTATGAAGACACTGGGAGCTGCTGCCGATTGTTTCTCTTGCTTTTCGATGGCTCTACAGCACCTAAGGTGTTTGTATCACAGTACAGAGACATTAGCAGCCGTTTTATATTGCTTTTAAAAATATTTTTGAACGATTTTGAGGGAGCGGGTCTCTGCCATCTGATATAAACACGTTAGCCAACCAATCAGCGCGTTTGTTATATCTTACATGTTTTATAATGGTTGCTATGTCTTGATTTATTCTATCTTATCCTTATCGTTTTTTTATTCCTTTAAAAGACAGATATAAATTTCATACCACAAGCTCCTTCCTTCTGTACTGAGATGGTCTTGTTCTTTTTACAAGCATCCTGACGCATCATACAATCATTAGGATATGTCTTGTTATTCGAACCACAAACTGGATCAGTTGGTTTCTTAGGACATTCCTCGCACTTGCAGCTGATGATACCAGACTTTTGATCTGCTTCGCATACAGCAAAGGCAGGAACTGCAATGGCTGAGCAGACAAAATGTCGTTATATTTATCTTATATTAGTATTACCCTATTAATACATTACTATTGTGAAAAAAATATTAATTTACTTTGCCGTATTTTACTAGCTTTACTTACCTTGGTTTGTCATGACGCATTGTCTGTGACAGCCGCTAGAGCAACACTTCATGGGAGTAGGACAGTCACCGTCTGAATTACACCCATCAGGTCTATCGTCACATTTTCTGCCAAAAAGTCCTTTCCAATTTCTTGGGCAAGCTCCAAACCTTGCTCCTGTTCCTTTATATGGAAAAGAATATGCTTAGTTTACTAACAAATAGTCTCCCAAAACATCAATGATGCTTTTATACCTTTGCATATTAAGGTTCTAATGCTTCCTGCAACATCCTGCAAAGCTCCAAATGATTGTGCGATGACAACTTTGTTAGAATCAGAAGCAATGGAAACAAGTTCTTCCCTGTCAATGATGTTACCAACGCCAATAGAATAAACCGTAACGTCTTTCTTCTTAATTCTGTCAGAAACGAGCTGAGGTTCTGTAAATGGACCTTCATCTCGACTTTGTTTGCCGTCTGTCAAAACCAGTAATACCTATTTACAAGCGCAGAAAAAGCTTGTTAGAAACCTTGGATCGAAACGCGAAAACGTTTGAGTTTTTTGAGTTGATTCAATATTCTCACCTTTGGTACATTAGTTCTCATTCCTGCAGATGTTACAAATACTTCTCGATCTGCCAGATCAAGTGCCTTATCTATAAAACTGAATCCTTTTCTCCATTCCATCAGTTCTATTTTCTTTAAGACTTGGTTTTCGTTGAGGTTACCTCCCTTGAGCGTGTTGAACTTAAGGATTACCTCAGCCTCAGTGCTGTACACAACTATTGCCACGCGCACTCCATCTTGTCGTATTCGGAAATTGCTGAGGATTCTTTTGATGAATTGCTTCTTGATGAACCAGTTGGCCCGTCCGATGCTGTCAGATGCGTCGACAACGAAAGCAATGTCAAATACTTTCTTGCATTTATCCTCTAAAAGGAATAGGAAATAGCATAGGTTTTAGATAGCTTAAGTGATTACATGACAATGTTTTGACAGTAATCTTGATCATCCTCGTACTATAGGCTAAAAATCAAGCAGCAATTGTAAAAAAAAGAGATAAAAAGATAAAAACTGGCTGTATCATAGTTGTACTAAGAAGCGATGCCGGAATGTGGTATTCACAGTAAATTATATTCTAATTAGCTAAATGTTCTGTTGAAGAAAAGGGGTAATTACCTAAACAAAGAAATTTTGCTAAGGGCTTGACGGCTTCATTCAGATTCATCAAGGGCTTTTGGAAGATGTCCTCTGAGCTGGAGACAATGTCCAAGAGTTCGTTTTTCTTAGCATTGCCATCAATAGACAACGCTAAAATGTTTATTCCTATGTTTTTAAGTCTCTCCGAAACTTGACGTAATCTTTCCTGGTTTGAGCTGCCTGATTGCCTTCCATCCTCGATGATTAGAAAAACCTTAAATTAAAAGCATTAATTAGTTTATATATATGAAAAACAGAATTACCAATGGTAATAGCTATCAACGTTCTGCACTTAAAAATCGCTATGAAGGAATGCAAAAAAGGACGGTGAAAAAAAAGAAGCAAACAAAAACAAAAAAACAAAAAAAACAAAAAAACAAATGCACGATACTGTTAGACAGACTTATAGAGAAACATACAAAAAGAGAAAAAGAAAGGAAGGAAGGAAGGGAGAAAGGGAGGAAAGAAGGCTGTGTTTTATCATATACATATAGGGGTTTAAAAATATTGCGTTCAGATTGTTTTAGAGCGCTTGCTTTACGAGAGAAAACCCTCTTTTTTTTTATTGCGTTATTCGTATTCAAAAAAACAATCATTTCGCGGCTTTTGTGTATCTATTTGCTGTCCTGTGCGAAGTTATAAAGTGCTTAAAAATTGGCAGGACACTTTGACAAGAGTTGAAAAGCACAGCGCACTTTTGTTCTGCCAGTCCAAGCCTTGCACAAAGCACGCGCGCGCGTTTTCAATTTCTTTGAAAAGGAACGCATTGAGTTCGTCGTACCTTAAGGCTATTTGGTCTCATTCCTTCTCCTGTCTTGAATAGTCGTTTTTCAATGTTCTCCAATGTTTTATCCAATTTGCTTTTTCCTTTTCTCCAAAACATTGTGCTAACAATCCTTTGGATTTCTTCCACGTTCAGTAATGCTGGCGTAAGACTTTTGAAACTGTTTTCTACTTTGATGTTCGTAGCATAAGAAACAATTCCAATATTGACTTTGTCTGCCGATACATCGAAATGACTGACTAGTCTTTTCAGGAAATCAAGGATTCGGGCCCAAGAGCATCTAGTCATATTTGGAGATGCGTTGATGCCTATTGCCAAATCTAGTGCCTTGCTACAAGTGTCCACTGGATAAAAAGAACGTGATACTCATCGTGTTAAAGGTCTGATTTTCTAACTATTATAATTTTAATTGCTGGATTTCATTTAGCTGATAAAAGGTTTTTGGATCATATTATCAGCATCATTTAGTGGTCAGCACCTAACAATGCCATTTGAAAGTCGTGCATGATAATTCAGCTAATAAACATTTCCAGTGAAATTTAAAAGTAAAATTACCTGGTTTTTCTGGTATACCATCCGTGCACACATTACTGCAGCCATCAAAACAGCACTTTTTGTCCTCTGGGCATTCGGAGTCGATTTCACACTGGTTTGATATTTTCCTGCAAGAGTTGCTATCCTTAAAGATCACAGGACATCTGCTTGGAGAAAATCTGGGCCGATTCGGTACACCTAATAAGAAATATACATGAGAAATACATATGGGATATAAGTGACAACAACCGGTTGGCTCCCTTGGCTGAGAATGCGGCAGGTCGTGATTCGAGTCCCGGCCGGACCAACTAAAACATCTGATGATAATTACATCTACGAATGTTAGACTTTCAAATGGGTTGGATGATCTTTTTAAATGGCGGTTCCGTCCCTCCACACTTCATCATTACTAACCAATATCGGAGGGAGGTACAAGAACCATAAGGACGTAAAACAAAAACCCCTGGCGGTGACTATCCTCAGCGCCTACACCTCATAATAACCACCTTTCATGTTTGTAAATTGCATAAAAAGCAATCTGAAATTCACAACTCAATGTTAAGCGCCGTTGACCATGTTTATATAGAAAGGGCGCTGTATAAATCATAAATCATCATCAACAACAGTGAAATCGCTATCCTTCATATATATGTATTTAGTATAGACACACAGGTGATTATTGATAATCTGGCGCCCTGATTGGTCGAGAAACTTAAATTATCATACGATAATCACCTCCAGCGATAATCCAAAATGGCGGCCAGCCGCTTTGTTGCTGTAACCGGAAAAAATGTGTCTTTTATCTTCTTTTTTTCTTTTTTTGAAAGAATCACCTGTGTATTTATACTAAAACAATTATTCACCTCAGGCTCAGTGAATATCGGGAATAATAACCTTAACTTCGTTTCGGTAAATATTCCCCGATATTCACTTCGCCTTCGGCGAATAATTGTTAAATATATCTCAAATCTGTCAGAGTTTTAGGGATTTGGTGGTCATATTTATGCCTTGGCCTAGTAAGAAATATTCTGTAGCTGGATATCCCAGAAAAACGTCCCTATTTTCTTGCCTTCGAGAGTTTAGCCATTTTCTAGACTGCCACGAAATCTAAGAACGGTCGTAAAAGGTAGGGAAGAAACTAAGGATATGGCAAATGTAACCGAACAATACTTACTCATTGTCTCGCATCTTGGAGTAAAAGGCGTCCTGGTTGCTGTTCCTAAAACTTCTTGCCCATCCTTGTCCACACAGTACGAAAAGCCACTTCGAGTCTGAATAGGAGCAAAATCTCCATTCGATGCACATCTAGGTATATATCTACCTGGCTGGTAATTGGACAAAGCATCCAAGTATTGTCTCTGGCATTTGGATGGTAAAGATCCTAGGAATGATATTATGCAAGTGAAAAAAATACCTATTAAAGGGGAAAACGAATTCCGAAAGGGCAAACCTTGTGGCTATTCGATAATAATAAACAATCTTTATTCAGGAATGCCTAAGTCACATACGTGTTTTACATTAGGGTCCTGTAATTTGCAATCCTTACAAAGGCATATACCGTAAATTTCACAATCATTGACGGGCTCAAAACATCGAACATCGAAACTTAACACAAGGTTGATATAAACATGTCTCTGCAACAATTTAGGAACATACCAGGTGTTCTATATGGAGATTACTTCATGGAACGTGGGCGTGTACGGTTTTATTCACGAGCAAGTCTCCGAGCGAGTAAGTTTTATGATACGAAACGAGTGCATAAAAAACTATACACCTATACGGTTTATTATATTGATACCGAGATCTTCAATTTTAGTTAAAAACTAAAATATTTTGAATAGGTTTTTAGCGAGTAATATAGGTTTGCTGTGTCAAAAATTCTTACCATAACAGTCAGGTCTAAGAGGTCTTGGTGTTCTCGTTTTTCTTTTTTCGTTCCCATTGCTATCGACACAGTGGCATGTCATACCCCGACACTGGACTTCATGATACGAGCCGTCGTCACGACAACGTGGCACAAACGCGTTTTTATCTGTGTTTTGGATCGCTTTGGCGTTCTCTCTCATACATGGCATACTTGTTAACCGAGTATTTTTGCTGCAGACTGGTTTATTGGGGAGATTAGTTCTTGTGTTTGATATCTCAAAACCCTTTTCATCAACACAAAAGCAAATGTTGCCATAGCATTGCATTGGGTTGTACAAGCCATCCGGGTCACAGGTTGGTACAAATTGATTAACGGCGCCAAACTGGTGGGCCTGTTGATAGTGGCGCTGACAAGGTGTCAAGGTCCAGCCTACAATATACAATAATATTTTAAAGAACATATGAATGAAAAAAATATTTTTTATAAATTTATTGTTTAATATAAACCCTACGTACAACATTAGACTTAGCATAAATATAACAGAAAATAATCTAGGATGCGTGATTGATGTTATATTCACTTTTCTCGAAAAGTACACTGTTGGTGCATGGTGCTGCTAACGCGCCGCTTCTATCTCACAGCAGCATGTGAATAGTTGTGATTTCTGGAAAAGCTAACAAACATATTTGATGACTGGCTGCTTTTTAAAGTGGGTTCTCTGTTGTTTTTTTTCTCCGAAAAAGAAAATGAACGTCTGCATTTTGATGACATCTGACTTAAACCGGCTTAAATGAAATATTCCTTCTCGAATAGGATTTGATCTTTGCCAATTTGTCAATAGTAATTTTACGTTGATTGGCAAGTAAGCCAATCACAACAGGACGGGGTAACGAGAAGGGTTCCATAACTATTGAATGCATATAAGGTCACGTGGTAAACATCACGGAGTCAGGGGTTCATCCTTGCTTAACCATGAGGCTGAACAAACCAGACAAATTTAAAGACGAGATAATATGGTTCGTGATGTCTGAGCAATCATTCCCTGTTCTCTACTTACCAAGAGGAGAACAGTCAGGTTCATTGAATCTTGGCTTCGTCGTACCAGGTATTTCAACGCCGTGTTTGTCCACACACATACACACAGATCCAAAACATTGCACAGGATCGAAACTGCCATCAGATCGACAACGGGGAATAAAACGCCCTGGTACGAGTTGTTTTAAGGAGAGCACGTAGAGTTTTCGACAAGGTCCAAGGTCTGATGCTGCTGATTGAAGCAATAAAGCGAATACAATGAGAGACGTCTCAGAGAAGTAATTCATATGTACTGTCATAGCAGTGTGATAACAATGATGATTATAACGATAACAAACGCGAGTAACCCCAATTCAAATAGTTCCATCTAAAAAATATGGAAGGACGCAATTTATGATTAAACTGAGAATTTCAATAAAACATAAGTAAAAGCCCTGACGTGACTTATTCATATTGTTTTTTTGTTTTTGTTGACATTATTTTATTCAAAATGTGAATGTGAATGTAGATCTGTATTAAATCATGTTGCCAATTGTCTTCTCATATTCACTAATCCATGGACTCCTACTAGTGTCAGATCATCATTTTATACGTTTCAAATAAAATGAATTATTCATTTAGTTTAATATGCTGGTGTATTTATACCTTGGACTCCACATTCAGGCCATCCTCGTTTGCGCGTTCCTGGAAGCTCTTTTCCATTCTCATCCACACACCAGCAGTACCAGCCTCGATCACACTGCACCGTGTCGAATGTGCCGTCAGGTCTACAGTTAGGAATCCAGCGGCTGAGCACGTGACGCTGGACAGAGAGTTCGTATAGACGCTGGCATGGAGATAGCAGACTATCTAATTGTAACCAGCGAAAGAACGAAAACGTTAACGAAGTAAGAAAAAAAGTCAGTTGAATTAGTTTTTTTTCTGGTTTGTTCTTTTGCGCATAGCAATTATAAGCATCGTGCTTTTACACATTTAATGCCACATTACTGGCTTGATGATGAATTTTTCTACTTTCTGAAAAGTTGCTCTCTTCCTTGATTCAAGTGTCTTTACAGGTCAGTTTTCCTCCCTTCGCAAAACACAACACACTTAACTTTAATACCATTTATGAGTTAACCTTGCGCTGATTTAGATCAGCTCAGAGTTTGCTTCAAGGTACGATCTGTAAGTTCGTCATGCACTTACTTTAAAAAAAAAAAAAAAAAAAATATATATATATATATAATGGAGAGCATTGTTCGTAAATATCACTTTTATTATTCATACCTGATGCCAAGCATTTCGGTACCCTTGGTAGAGGGGTAGCTGTTCCTCTTATTTCTTTGCCCATTTTATCCACGCAGAAACACGTTCCGGCATGGCACTGCATTGGGTCATATCCGGTATCAGGCTTGCATAAAGGTGCGCATGCGTTAGATGAAGAATTTGAACGTTTTGTTTTGAATTCTTGGTGGCACATGGAAACTTGTCGTTCTGTTAAAGAAAAACGATAGAATAAATAAATAAATAAATGTGTATTTTATTGTTTTATTTTTATTGGTCTTTTCTGTTTACTTTTTTATTTACCCCTTTTACCTTTTGTATTCTTTTGTATTATTTTTAACTTAGCGAATCATAGTCAACCAGAATGCACTTCTCGCTGGAAACGATGCAATGCGATACGCCAATTTCTCTACCATGCAAAATGGCGGTTTTTAGGTAAAGTCTGGGGACCCAGTTCCATTGCTCTTGTTATTCCTGCTATATATTTTATATATTACGACGACCATTTGACACTTTAGACAGAGAGACGTCATCAATGTTATCAAAAGAATCTAAGGTAGATTTTGAAAGTAGCGTTGGCTACCAGTTAGACGACCGAGATTTCATAAGATTACAAAGAGAATCTCTACTCTAATTAAAAGAAGGCATCTTTGGAATTTAAGAACTTTGATTTGCAGAAAGTTTGCTCCACTAGAGCTTGGAAGAGCTTCGCGAACGATGTAGGCTAACGATATAAACCATAATATAGGCACGCAGTGAATTGTAGTTGACAAGGATCTTTAAGACCTTATCGTTTGTTTGTTTTGTTTTTTTGTTTTTATTTTTAAGTCGAGCTCTTTAAACCTTTATTTTTTTGTCAGAAAATGCAGACAAAATTAATTATGCAAGACGTCATAAAAAAGAAAAAAAACTCCTGCAGCTTCAATATCATCCTCAACACCTTGTGATCACAGCAAAATACTTATTCATCACATTGATCACCAAAAATACTTACATAGCAATATTTAAGTATTAATGTTTCTCCATGTTTACTTCTTTGGGGTTCGAGTCTTCAGGAGCATGGTGAATGGAGTTGTTTTGGTGTGAAAGCTTTAGGGACGGTGCATATAAACACTGATATAAACATGCATATTTTCATACTTATGAATTAGTGAAAGATGTTTTTTGTTGATGATATTTTCTGAACGAACCTTTCTTGCCACAGATAGGCCAGCCTCTTGTTCTGGTATTGGTCATCTCACGCCCTTCTTTATCCACACACCAGCAGTAGTTGCTAGGGCCACATTGGACCAGGGCAAAGCTACCATCAGCTAGACATCGAGGAACAAATGTACCAAATGGAAATTTACTGCGCATGACACGGAATTGCTTCTGACATTTAGTGAGGGGATCTAAGAAGCATAAACATAGCAATTACTGAATACCAAATCCAGCCACTCAATTTTTGTTAATGCCACCCAATGCAAGGGCGGATCCAGGGGGGCAAAGGGGGGCAGCAGGAAAAAAAAAAAAAAACTAAACTAAAGAATTAGATGCTTTTTTTATTGTTTCCCGTTGTGTTGACGGAAGAAACTCAATTAGGCCCCCCTAAACTCAATTAGCCCACTTCCTTAAAATTTGGGCTGGATCCGCCCTTGCAATGTCCACTTAAATTTTGTTAATCTTGACCAATGTCACCATCAGTTCTTTACGACCCTTCACTACAAGTTTTCTACTGTCGCCTTGTGCTTCCCAATGTCGTCATCGAACGCGGCGACAATTCACTACGAGTTTTCTAATGTCGCAGTATGCCTCCCAATGTCGTCATTTGCCGCGGTGACAATTCACTACAAGTTTTCTAATGTCGCTTTATGCTTCCCAATGTCACCATCAGTCGGACAATTCACTACAAGTTTTCTAATGTCGCCGTATGCCTCCCAATGTCGTCATTTGTCGCGGTGACAATTCACTACAAGTTTTCTAATGTCGCCTTATGCTTCCCAATGTCACTATCCGGGTTTCAAAAAGGGCCGGTTTTTAAAGCAATATTTTAAAAGTAACCTTACCAACTGTTTTGCATTTAAGTGGTTTAAGTCCTGGCTCTCGTGTTCCGTCAATTTCGACGCCGTACATATTAACACAGAAGCAAAGAGAGCTGTGACACTGCATTGGTTCGTAATTTCCATCTGGCTGACAACGAGGGACGTAGCGACCATAGATGTACCCGTCAAGAGCAGCGCGGTACTCTCGTTGACACTGAGTAGGGTTGGCAGGAAGCGCAGCAGCTTGAGCTTAAGATAAATAAAACAATCGTTTATAACTTTGTATTGGAAACTTTTCATATCAAGTCCCCTGAGTAGTATCATATTCTATTGTTACGCTGCTTACCTGTAACCTTCAGGAAAATAAATATAAATGTAAAGAATAGTCCCCTTCACAGTTCCCGGCGCCATCTTGAGAGGTAGCTGTGCCTTTGCATCGAAGCGAGACGAACGGTGAGCTTGCAACGATAGAGGACATGTGAATAACTGTCCAAATTGTAAGATGGCGCGGGGAACTGTGAAAGGGACTATTTTCATATGGTGTGGCTAAYGAGTCGATGTATTTTAGTTGTATAATAAAGAAATAAACTTACGACATTTTGGCCATCCAGTAGTTCTTGTTCTAGCTAGTTCATTCCCAAAGTTGTCCACACACCAGCATGAATACCACCCTTCGTCACACTGCACTGGCTGATAAGTACCGTTAGGAAGACACTGTGGTATGAATCGACTGATTGCGAAGTTATCCATTGCAACACGATACTGCCGCATGCAATTTTTCTTGCTTTCTCCTTCAAATGAAATTCGTATTTTTAGAATAAAATTTAAAAGTTCTGAACCTTAAATCTTTTCGTTCGATACCATATCTTGTTCGCAATGTTGTACATGACCAAAGATAATCAAAATAACTCTTACGAAGAAATAATCTATAACCTTACCTACATTTTTATAATTAAGTAATCCAGACAACTAGCTATAATTCGAATCATCTGGGTTTTTAGCTTCCTTCAGCACATTTTTAAACGGTCTGAGTTAGTAATTATTTTGCTCGACGGAAGCCAAAAAACCAAACATCTTGGGCTGTGAGTTGGTCGCGTAATTATGAAAATGGATATAACAGAAGACAATTATCTTTTCATTCTCCAGTTTGTTGCTCAAATGTTTTAAAAAATACATAATGAGATATCGGGGGCTAAGGGAAAAGTGCAGTTTTTAACAAATTCTATTACCTGGCAAAGGTTTTCCTCCATTGATTTTCTTGCAATCTGGTTTCAGTGGAAGCTTTACTCTTGAYCCTTGGATTTCGTCACCATCTTTGTTTACACAGTAACAATCTGATTCGTGACACTGGGTAGGAGCAAAGCTGCCATCCTGATTACAGTGTGGAATGAAAGGTCCTTGGTTGATACTCCGGAGTGCTATCTTACGTTGTCGCTGACATATAGTCAAAGCTCCATCTAGAAATGCGAATCATAAGTTTAAAGAGTTTGGTCAAAATTTTTGGTTTTCCTTCATTTCTTTATACCTTCTTTTTTGTCACATACCTTTGATTCCGCAGATTGGTTTTCCACGGACTCTGGTTTCCGGGATTTCTCTGCCAAGCTCGTCCGAGCACCAGCAATATCCAGTGGCCGAGTGACATTGCATATCTGCATAACTTCCATCCTGATCGCATTTAGGAACAAAACGTCCTGGCATTCTGTTGTAGCTTAATGCGTTCATGCGTTCTTGGATGCACACTGAGAAATGAGAAAATCAAAACCAATCAAGTAAAGAGTGATGGGTTTTGGAGACAATTTGTACTCTGAAATAAGGAATTTGACCAGTCATTTTGTTCTTGACTAGTCAAATTTATTGGACCATAGGGGATGGTTGAATACCACTTTGCTTGATATTCGTTATGGAATTTGGGCTAGAAAACACCAGTTTCGGTTTAGATGCATACAGCTTTTTAAAAGCAACAGACTCTTTTGCGMAGACTTAGCCTCGTTTATATATCAGCTATTCACAAGTACCATTAACAGGTACCAAAATATCACTATTGTTAAAGATGCGCATTCTTCACATTACAGTTGCCTTTCTCAAATGATTAGCTCTTAAGCGAGGCTAAGCCTTTGCAGATCATTCTTTAGTCATAAAACACAGCGGTATGTGCCGAATGAGAAAAGGGACTATTAAGTAAGTGGTTGAATTAGCCCGACGTTACCTGGTATTTGACAGTAAGGTTTGCCTCTAGTTCTAGTTCCAGGTATTTCTACTCCCCGATGATTGACACACCAGCAGTCTCCTTTATAGCACTGTATATCATCATATCCGCCATTTTCCCTGCATTGTGGGATGAAGATGACATCGGTGTATTCCGTTTGGTTAAGTCTTCTTACCAAGCTGTTGAACCTCTCGAGTTTGCATTGGGTATATTTTATTTCTAGGAACAAATGTTATATCATGAAAATATAATTTAAAAATGATAGTTTTCGTACCCACCGCATTGATGGAAATTTATCATAACAGTTGACTTTCATAACTTTCCAAACCTTTGAATACAGTCATGTTATGTTATAAGTATTCAAAAATCTTTGTGTCTGATCAGCATCCAAACCCCCCAACCCTTTGATTCCCCTCATTAAAATTCCTGGATCCGCTATTAGGACTCTTTCCTAGTTATAACGTTTGAGCATTTAATTCTCGAACCCAAAACTAATTGCTTGGTATTAATCAGCCGATGGAAAGCACCCTTCTAAAAGCCTCTTATATTCGAGGCTAACCATGAAGATAGAAAAGAAATACCATAAATTTCATCGACGAAAAGTGTGGATTCTTTTGTATTTCCATGTTAGCAACGCGTCCAAGATTTGAAGGTTCGAGAAAGGTCCATTTTTTTACCAGCTCTTACACAAGGGCAACCACTGCCCTCTATTATCAATCTGGTGAATTCCACGTCAAGCGATATACCCGAATATTGGAAATTGAAAATGGGCAGGATTTTAGTTTATAACTCACCTCCGATGGTACAGTTAGGCCTTCCATTGGTTTCAGTTCCAGCAATGGCATTACCATTCTCATCGACACACCAACAACTTTTTCCATTGTTGTAGCGACACTGTATCTCCTTGTAATTACCGTCTCTCTCGCATGATGGATAGAATGCGGCTGGAACAGACATTGCGTTGGCCAAGTGTAATTCGATATTACAAGTACTAATTGTTTCTGTATCAAAAAGAAAGGTCAATATGTACTCAGAGCAAAAGATAACAGGTTTATAAGTTAAGCATGCTGGTTAGTGCGCTGTTTTCTCTAGCTGAGCTACGGGAGCTTAGGCCTACACAGTATTAGGTTTTGTATTTGTCATTCCTTTATAGAAACCTAGACTTATCCATGGCAACATAAACCAAGTTTGTAAGATGCTGTACCCTGTACTCCTTTCGCACGGTATACTTCTTACCTTGCTCTTCGCAATACGCCTTTCCTTTTCTTCTAGTATCAGGAATTTCTCTTCCAGCGTAATCGACACACCAACAGTATCCAATAGATTGATGACATTGAGTTGGCAAGTACCCTCCCGATGCCGTACAACTCGGTGCGAAGCGACCGGGAGACGCCTCACCAAGTGAGCCAAGAATTCGTTCACGTTCATTCAAACATGGCCTCAATGTTACTAAAAAGCAACAACAACATAATCATAATTATCTTCGTCAAGTTTTAGAACACTAGGTAAAATGCGGTCCCGTCAAGTTTAAAAAGAATAAACATACAAGACCACGCGTTTTTATCTGTGATTACTTCTAACACTTTAGTATTAACCTCGGGCTTTAGGAGTTAGAGGTCCGCGGTTCAATAGTCCCCTTCACGGTTCTCTGCGCCATCTTGAAAGGTGGCCGTGCCTTTGCATCGAAGCGAGACGAACGATGAGCTTGCAATGATAGAGACCTTTTATTAACACCTTGGACAATTATTTACATGTCTCTATCATTGCAAGCTCAACGTTCGTCTCGCTTCGATGCAAAGGCACGGCTACCTTTCAAGATGGCGCAGGGAACCGTGAAGGGGACTATTGAACCGCGGACCTCTAACTCCTAAAGCCCGAGGTTAATACTAAAGTCTGTTTCAGCTGTTCTGCTCTAATCGGTGTACCTTCAGCTTTTAATGCTTTTAGTGGGGGTGGGGGCTCCCTTGAACGCCATCTATTAGCTGAAGGGGCACTGACGTTAAATAAGCTCTTCACCTTTACCATCAATAGCGGCACTTTATGGATATTGTTTTTACGTAAATTATCGAAGTTGCTATTTCCCGTATACCTATTGAGACATGCATTCCTGGGCAGGTGAAGGGAATAAGATGGGGACGGAAATTTATCTAGTAAACCCTTATGCAAGATTGTTAACAAATCTTACCGTATATAGAACATATTGGTGCTCCCTTTCTGCGAGTTCCTGATAGTTCATTGCCATCTTTATCGACACACCAACAGAATCCAGTCAAACCATGACACTGTACCAATTCATATGAACCATCTGGTCTACACTTGGGAACAAACTGACCTGGTGCAGCAATACCTGTCCAGCCAATAGCAATCTGAAGCTCCTTTTGACACATAGTCAGACCAGCTGGAAAAAAATAGAAAAGGAAACGATTTTATTGTTTCGTGTACGTAATACATCTAATGACCAAGTAGACTTACAGTAACCAAAGTCAATGCCGACTATCGGAAAATTTATCGTAATGTTTTCTTAGAAAATAAACCATTGGTCTTACCTTGATAGTGACATTCAGGCACAGTCTTGGATCTTGTTCTTGGTATTTCAACACCGTATTTATCCACACACCAACAGTATGGTGATCCTTCTAAGCACTGAATGGGATGATATCCACCTAGTCTATCACACACCGGGGTAAATTCAGCGAGACTGTTACTTCGAGCCTTTCTTTGACGGTATTGGCACGTTGTTTCGTAATCTAAAAAATTTTCCAATCATCATTGTTAGTGTGCCTTAGTTAGTAACCTGACCAGATGTACTTGCACCCCAGCAATGCGAGGGAGTGTCTTAAATGAGTATCATCATTGTTAGCAAGTTGTCTCTTCAAATTTTAATTGGCTTAGTCTAACTGAATGATTGACTTGTCTTATATCTATTTATAATATCCGATGTTGTTACATTAGTGGCAAAAGAAAAACAAAAACAAAAAACAAAACAAAAAAGACAACAACAACAACAACAACAACAAACAAMMAMAAMAAMMAAMAAAAAAMAAAAMRAMAAAMAAAAAAAAAAAAAAAAAAAAAMAAAAAAAAAAGAAAAAAAAAAAGAAAAAATAAACACTGCTTACTAAGTGTGGAGTATATAATCTAATAAAAAATCTCTTAGAAACACATGGCTATTGTATTCACCTTTAGTTAGGATAAGGGAACAACTGATTTTTTCCCTCGTTCGAGTTCGAGCTATTTCATTTCCATTCTTTGTAACACACCAGCAGTAAGCACCAAAGCACTGGAGCTGCGGATAGCTGCCATCGTCATTACATGTGGGAGCGAACTTGTTTAACCAAGGAAGGGAGCGGAATCGCTCACTGTGACAAGGGGGCAGACCTACGGCTAATGAAAAACAAAGTAATGTTTGAGAACAAACATAATAGCTATAATAACATAAACTGAGGAAAAATAATCCTTTTATCAAACAATGCTCTTCTTGTCATTGCGTTAGTAATTAACCTACATTGAATGACTACAAAAGCACTGTTTCCCAATGTTTCTACAYCCCAAATTTTTTTTGTGGCGGTGCAGCACGTCACATTTCTCGAAATGTTTTAAAAGCGAGGAGAGACAAAAGCTTAGATAAAGGTCTCTAGTGTTACATATTTGTATTTGTTTGTGAACCGTCTTACCCATTGATCCACATGTCGGTGTCCCACGTGCAACCTGTGATCTAGGAATCTCAATGCCATTTTCGTCCACACACCAACAATATCCCGACGCCTTATCACATTGTACCATCTTATAGCTTCCATCACGCTCGCATTCAGCTTTGTATCGTCCAAGAGTTGGATTTCCACCCAGAGACATGACAAGGTAGCTTTCACGCTGACAAGATGTTGTCCCAGCTGATTTGGCAACAGAAATATTGTAAGGAGTTTGCCATATTTATAAATGTGTGCATCAACTATATAATTTATTATAGATCGTAGAAGTGTGATAACTTACCAAAAAGGCCGCAAGTTTGAGGAATTCCCTTTACTTTGGTCCTCGGAAGTTCCTGGCCATATCGGTCAACACACCAACAGTATCCACTTTGGTCACACTGAATTGGTTCATAGCCACCATATGAGTCACATTTGGGAACAAATCGACCAAAGTAAAAATTAACCCGCCGTAGGCTATCGCCTTCGGCTACCGATTTACTACATGTAGTAGTATTTGTATCTGCCCAAAATAGRAAAAATAGAACAATATTATCAAATATAAGAGATTCAATAAGGGTATATTAACAAATCAAACAATAACAATAACAACAATAAAGATATGGTGGTATAATAAGATTACRACAACTAAAAAAGAGAGCAACCGCAATAATAAAGACAATAACAATAAACCAATATAGCAACAGAGAGCAATCAAATATAGTAGCGACACCAATGACAATAATTAAAAAAATAAAATAAATGGAACAAACATCAGAAAAAAAACATTAGTAGTGAAAGCGGCAACGATGACAACGACGACAACGACAACAGCGAAATCATGAGATCGTAAGAACTACGCAACAGTAAATATACGATAAACCAACAGAGATTCACTGACAAATCGCAATAAATGTCTGCATGTAAGATGTCTTACCTATTGCATTGCAGTCTGGTCGATCACCTCTGACTCTTGTTCCCCATATCTCATTACTTTTCTCATCAACACACCAGCAATAACTAGTATGAGTATTGCATTGAACCGGCTTATAACGACCATCAGAAGTACAGTCTGGTGAAAAAACCCCGTAGATAGAGTCGAACTGTTCTGACCATATCAATGCCCTCCACTGGTCCATTTGGCATGAGGTGGGCATGGCTGAAACGACACCATTCTTTCCAATGTCTAAAAAAAAGATACGTATAATAAGCACGTAATTTAAAATCATGTGTCTTGAGAATAACATATCAACGTTCTTGACCTACATCTACAAAATAACATCTACATTTATTTAAGTCCATCAAAGGGGGGTACCCATCACAGACAGACAGATTCGATTAAGATTATTGGGTGCTATAATATAAAGCAGAGTTATGCGAGTCTTCGTAAGATATATAATTCAACTTTAAATTCAAGCAATAACTCATAAGGGGGTTGAAACGTGTAACAGCCATACGTTTCTTTTGTACGATGCTACAGAATATTCAACTTTTTTCTTGACAAATTTATTATTAATATCTCATGTCCTCTTGATTCAAAAATTCCCAAATCTAAATCGAAGAAAGATATCTAAAACATTTGATTGACATGCTCAGTAAATCACCTCTGAAAGTCAGGAAATTCAGCGGGACGTTTGTTATTTGAGAGAAGCGGCCATCTTGAAACCAAACTCAAAACTCCATATATGGTATCAAAACTCCTACTTTGCATATCTGAATATTCCAGACATGGTTATAGTGTCACATACACCTAATTGAAAAAACGTAGTCGGGTCCGAGAAGGTCGAAGCTAAGACCGAAGCTAAGAGCGAAAAGGATTTTGGGTACTCCGAAATGTGTATTATATTTGCATATAGACATGTACAAATGCACAGTAGAGCAAAGTCGGTCGACCTAGATTAACGACATGCCAAACCCATGATGCATAAAATGTGCACAGGAAGGGAAAACTGCAATAGGCATGAAATTAGCATAATTGTTTGTCTTCCCATGCTCCCCTTCGGTCTTAGCTTTGATGATACAACTTATTTTTGAGCCCGACAACGTTTTTTTCAATCAGGTGTATACGTTTCTGATTCAAGTCAATGTCTTAGTCCATTGTGTGCAAGAGTCGTAGGGAAAAGTTGCACCGCGTAAATTGGCCTTAATCTCTGATTCGCGTGCATTTTCCATAGCAATGGTTTAACGTCACCTACTCTACTTACCTATTGTTTTCCCACAATCGGGTGTTCCCTTAACCCTTGTCCCAGGCCACTCGTGTCCCCATCGGTCAACACACCAACAGTATCTTGTCGCTAGGTGACACTGAATGGTTTCGTAGGTACCATCGAGTTTACATTCGGGAACAAAAAAGTTTGGTACATGGAGACCAGTCCATCCTAGAGCCCGATGACGCTCACGACGACAAAGAGAGAATACTGATAACGAAAGAAACATTCGACGGATTATTATAGGACATCTCTTAACAAAGAATAACAGCTTTTTTATTCAGTCTTTATAACCACAGTTATAGTAAAATTGCAATCAATTTTAAACTTAAAGTAAKATTTGTTTAATTCTTACATTCTATATCTACTGCGCTTTAATACATATAGATTCAGGTCACGTGATTAAACTGTAATTTTTCCTCTTACATAGTGATGTCTTAACCAATCGTTATTTATCTGTTCTGTTGATAAATCTAATTATCTGCAAGAATTTGAATGGCGGTCAAGTAACGTAAAATCAAGGGTATCTTATTATTATTTTTATTATTATTTTATTTTGCCGAGTCCAAGCAACGTGAGACCGAGGGTACGTACTAGGCAATAAATGTATCACTGATGGAAGAAGAATCAAAAAATAAACAAAAGACAAACGCTATACGTCAAATCTAAATATAGTGACCAATTTGAATAACTATTGCTCTGGACTAGCTTTGTGTTCCCGTGGAAATATAACAGCGGCGTTATTGCATGCAAGAGCGGGTAGGTAGTATATAACGATAACTATTCAAATTGGTCTCCATATTTCGATTAGGTGTATTGATCTACTTTTCTGTACCTTCTTCATAACAATCTATCGGTTTTCCAAACTGCCGTGTTCCAATCCTCTCACGGCCACCTTCATCGACACACCAACATTCACCAACACTTCGATCGCATTGAATCTCTGCATACGAACCGTCTTTGCGACACTTTGGAACGAATTGACCGAGCAATGGCGTTTTGTTCGGTCCTAATGTCAATTTCCTTTCGGTCTGACACTTGCTTAATCTCGCTGAAAATATGTCAATAAGGTATTATTAATCAATAAACATTGATATAAGAATATTAAATACTAACGGATGGTTGGATGGTGGGATGGTGGGATGGTGGGATGGTGGGATGGTGGGATGGTGGGATGGTGGGATGGTKGGATGGTKGGATGGTTGGATGGTTGGATGGTTGGATGGTTGGATGGTTGGATAGTGGTTGTACAAATACCGAAATCACTAGAATGTCGGAGATCATATTAAAATAATAAACAATTGGCAAATATATAAAGGTTACAATTTCGTTACTAATGAGTTTACCTGCAGCATAGCAAAGTGGTTTGCCTTTTTTTCTCGTACCCAGGACCTCGATACCTTCAACGTCAACGCACCAGCAATATCCACTTTCTTGACACTGCACGTCGTCATAGCTACCATCAGGCTTACATTTGGGAACAAAACGACCACTCGGGGGTTTATCGACGAAGCCATAGGCACGTCTTTGTTCTCTTTGACAAGCAGTCAATCCAGCTAGATGACGAAGCGTAAAAAATGATATAACCTATATTTTAGGACTTGTTTCGAATAAGCTCATAATTAATTTTTCTTCATTATTATTATTTTTTTGTTTTTAATATTTTTGTCCTTATTAGTAATAGTCAAGATCTTAACAGAGAAATAATATAACCAAAATATATTGACCTTCAGTATTATCAAGGCCTTAACTGATCTTTTAGCAAATAATAAAAAAATCATTTTTAAAAATCGTTTTTTGTCAACGTTATAAATTAAGTGTTAGCTAGTTATTCTGACTATTTTAATCTATGTTTATTCAGATTTTCTGCAGTACCTTGTAGTTCGCATACAGTGCCTTGTGCCTTTACACGAGTTCCCGCTTCTTCGTTCCCGAGATGATTTACACACCAGCACTCCCCGAGTGATGTATCACACTGGTCTGGTCTGTAGCCTCCATTCTTGTCACATGCCGGTAAAAAGGTTTGTGATCTTGGGTCTTTAGCTCGTGCTGCCAGTGCATCAGTACGCTCTTTCTGGCATTTTGTTAAGCTTCCTAGCATAAATGAAATTTGGTAAAGAAAACATATATTTTAGACTTTTCTTAAATCCAATGCGCTTCTCGATAGGCAGCTAAGCACCCTTGCTTTACATGGGACTCGCGGTTTCCAATAAAGCTGTTAAGAATAGGTGTAATATTAAAAAAAAAAAAAGCTTTTAAACGGCGCTCTACTAAAAGTGCAGTACAATACTGCAAAAAAATGGCGATATAATGACGTCATTGTGATGTTTAAGTTAGTAAGCGTGCTGCCTATCACGTGCTCCGTTGAGCTAGTGAGTTCGATTCTCGGATTTGTGACGGTTTTCTCATGTCATTTGAGAGTTTTCCCCTTGTTGTGTGCTCCTTCGAAAAACTCATCATCTGAGTCTTAATTCGATTATGGAACAAGAGTCACAGGTTAGTTAGCAACTACGTTACAAAGGCACAATCGTAATTACCCCTGTTATCACAGTCCACTTGTCCCCTTGTGTACGTGTCCGTCAAGACATTTCCATGTACATCGACACACCAACAGTGACCAGTTGAAATACTGCATTGCATATTGACAAAGGCACCACTAGAATCACACTCGGGAACGATTACTCCTTGAGATAAAACACTGGACGGCGACTTTCCAATGATACGAGTGCGCCACTGGTAGCACGCGGTAAAATAAGCTGCAACACAAATTATCATGAAATTAACATAAATTATCATATATAATACACCAGCTTGTTTTTGAAGAACACAGAATCATTATAGCACAGGCATAGCTTCGTTTATCCGTCAGTTATTCACTGATACCATTAAAAGTCCGTACGTAGGAATTTAAAGCTCTGGTCCTCTTTAGACTTTTGTAAATAATTGCTCTTCAACGAGGCTAAGCTTTTACAAATATTTATTCACAAAACGCCGTGGTATTTCCCGAATGAGAAAAAGTATTATTATATTGTAAAATGCTACAAAATAAAATGGCTACCTGGTCTTGTATTGCAGTCCGGGGTACCCGACTCGCTACGAGTGTCCGGCAATTCGTATCCAAATTCGTCCACACACCAGCATGTTCTATGGTGACATTGAACAAGATCGTAGCGGCCCTTGTCATGGCACTGAGGCACAAATGCTCCGTTGTGATTTCGAGACCACCCTAGTGCACGCTGTCGCTCCATAAGACAGGGTGACCGTGATACTAAAAAAAGTATACAATAAACTGAAACGTTTAAAATTTTTGAATTATCACTATATACCTCTTCTTATCAGTTTACACAAGCAAGGTTTGCACAATGATAAGAGCGTGCATGCTTCATTAAGGTTTTGGTAAAGTCGGCGAACAGATACTTTTCCGTTGAGTACGATTTCTTTTTCTAGCCAAATTTCCTACATTTTCATGATTGAGAATTGAGCAGCGAAATATTCTTAAGGGATATTCGTTGCTGACATGAAAATTATTTCACCTATCGCGCAGCTAATCRTTTTATATCATTGTATTTTTTGCTCTACATTACCTTTTCTTTCACATATTGGTCTCCCACGCATGCGCGTCTCAACCAACTCATTACCATTGCCATCTACACACCAACAGAATCCCGTAGCTTCGTGACATTGTATATTCTCGTATCCTCCGTCAGCTGTACAGTCGGGTACGAATACGTCTGCGCGAGCAACGCCAGACCAACCTAACGCTACTTGACGTTCACGTTGACAACTAGTCAGTCCAGCTATGAAAGAACGGTTAACGCTTTATTAAGATAAAACAAAAGCTCTGCAGTACCCAAAAGCTACATACAATCACACACTTGTCTGGGAACGACAGTAGTTTATTGTTCATTATATCTAGTTTATTGCTCACCAGAAATATCATCACAGTTGATCCCTCCTGTTGTCCTTGTTCTTGGAATTTCTTTTCCGTGCCTATCGACACACCAGCACTGTCTCGGCTCTCCGTTGCCAATACTGCATTGCTTGGGTGAAAATCCRCCACTGTTGTCACAGTCAAAGGGGTTGTGATCATCTTCGGACGTTTCTTTAGCATGCTGACAGCTAGTTGTGCCCACTTCGAACAAATCAATAAATTCATAAAACACTGCAAAACACTATCTAAATGGAAAAGTGTTTTTCTATTACATAAAATTATTTCTTATTTGCAAAAGGAGTTACTGCTAGTGGCATCTATTAGCTAAGATTTATTTTATTAAGGAATTAGCACAGCTACTCACAAAGGCTTCGTTTCTCTGCTTATTGGGAAAAAATATTGTCATCTAATAACGATTTCCGTAAACAGTAATGCTACATAATAAGAAACTACCGCTCTAGTTGGGCAACAACCTTTTAATGACAATCTTTTTTTACCTTGAGAAGAGCAACTGATTTGAGCATTTGATCTTGTTCCATGAAGCTCATTGCCATTCTCATCAACGCACCAACATTGACCAGTAGATTCGTGACACTGCTGTGGCTCAAAGCTACCGTCAGGGCGGCATCTAGGAATCATAAGACCTACTATGAACCTTCCATTCCATCCGAATGCTCTCATGCGGTCCTTTTGGCAAGCTGTCAAGTTTTCCACTGGTCCACATTGTGGCTTTCCTTGCGTTCTTGTTCCAGTACGTTCTTGACCATATTGATCAACACACCAACAAAATCCCGTAGAGCTATGACATTGCACTGGTTTGAAGGAACCGTCTGTTTCGCATACTGGAATGAAGACACCTTGGTTTGGTACCTCGGAGATACTGAGAACTCTCTGGCGGGCCTGATGGCATGGAGCTTCGATGCGTTTGTTTATACCATTCTCTTGTCCAATACGACCAACTGAAAAACAAAATTAAATGGCGGTGGAGGGTGAATTACAAGTACCAAGTTTCAGCATGCTAGAAAAAACCTAATTAGCTCCATAACGTCCACACGTCCGTTAAAACTTTGAAGTGCATCAAGCTACTTGAACGACAATTCCCCTCGTGCATTACCACTTAAATTGCAGCACGATAAACAATACAAACAACAACAACAATAATTAAAGTTAAAGACTTTAAATCCTACTTTTTTCTTCGCAGTTCGGGCGTCCGAACTCCCTTGATGCAGGTTCTTCAAATCCATTTTCATCTACACACCAGCAGAACGAAGAAGAGCCATCACACTGGACGCGATCATAATTACCATCCTTAAAACATTGTGGGATGAATGCTCCTGGCTGTGCTACGCCTGTTGGTCCGAGGACTCTTAATCGATGGATTTTGCAAAGTGGAACTTTAGCTGCTGATTATAAAGATCTGATGTTACTAATGGTTAACTAGTTGTGTTAAAATTAGGAGATAGTCAGCAGAAAAATCGCTACCCAACGTACCTATGTTAGGGCAGATAGCCTTCCCCCGCACAACATCAGATTGAGCCAAATTTCCATTTACGTCTGAGCACCAACAATATCCGTACCGGAAATCACACTGTAATGATTGGAATCCATTGTTGCTTGAGCAATTAGGAGAAAACGTCTTAAAGTGACTGATATTATTCTGCGAATTACACTGAGGCTCCAGGCCTACGATTTAGGGAACAAAATGTAAATTTTAAGGGACGATGGCGCAGTGCAATGCAAAACAATAATACATGTAGTTAATTAATTGATCACATCATCAATATGACCACCATTCCTAATCCACCATCACGACCATCATCATGACTATTATCGGCATTCTCCTCATTCAGCACCACCAGCACCACCATCATTATGACTATCATCAGCATGCTCCTCATTCAGCACCACCAGCACCACCATCATTATGACTATC